AATGCAATTGATGACATTAATGGAAATGAGGGGATGCCATCCCCACCTTATCCCCATCCAACCTCCTACTCCTTGGAGCCAAATAAATAGGCCCCAAACCATTAAGTTGTTTGGTACCTTTTTTTCTTTGTAGAAGCTTCTACCATATCACCTGATACATTTTTGGCAATATCTATATTCTTCTCAACCATACAAATAGGAAAATCTTCCTTCTCAACCACAGAAAGCTCAATTGCTTCATGAGGAAAAGTAATTTTTCCTTCCTCTAACAGGCTATTCAATAAATCAAACTTATTTTCAGTTGCAACAGTAGAAAAAGTTTTAGGCTCCATACCAATGTTGCTTTTTTCTTCCTGTTCTCTGATTTGACCCTCCAGCATTAATTCTGGAATTATTTTATTGCTTTTACTGAGATCCAAATGCCCATCAGGTAGAACAGAATCAGTTTGAACTGAATGCACTTCTTTTCCCACCTCCTTGAGATCAGCTTTAGTGTTCAATTCCATAGATTTATTATCTATATCTGTGTTTTTTATAACATAATTGATGGCTTAACGTTGGAAACCTTTCTTATTGTTCCTGTAGTTTTTCCTCCCATATTTAACATGGTCCCAAGGTCCATAGTTCTCTTTAACTTCTGAAGAACCATCAGTAACTGGTTTACTGATGATTTCTACTTCTTTTTGCTTTGAAGGAACTTCATCCTGGCTAGAATTGACTTTAATATTCAAACATTCTTTTTCGAGGTGGCTAATTATACCACATTCAAAGCAGAAATTTGGAATCCTTTCATACTCTATATTCTGAAAAAATCTTCCTGTGCTACCTTCCACCCATACTCCAAGAGGGAGTTGTTCATATAGTTTAATGCGCACATAAACCCTTCCATACTCTCGTCTACCCCACTGAAACATGTTCCCATCAATGAGGAGGGGCTTCCCAACTAAAGTAGATGATAAAATAAACATTATTAATAGATAATGCAAAAGCTATGATTAATTAAGCCTGAATAGTTATAAAGTACTTGTCATTTCCTCAAGTGACCTCCAACGTGATTACACCTTCCAAAAGAGTCTTCATCATTTAGAATCCCCCCAAAGCTCTCTAATAAACTTTAAACATCTCAGCATCCAATCCGACCTTTTAAATGAGGTGGCAAAAAATCACATTATCCTAGATATTTTTTTTAACTCAAAGGAGTACAATGTCATGCCCTAAGATCTAAAAGTGGAAGCATTTTTTATCTCAAAATTTATTTACCAAACTACTTAAAAAACTGCACAATTATGAAAATTAATTTAAAATAAAAATTTGAATTTTTGTTTGAGCTAGAGCATTGCAGTGCTGAGCTTATGAACATTGCAGGTTTCTGCCTATGAGTGTAGTAGCGCCAGAAATCACCACAATGACATTTGAGGCTCTGCTCTATAGTAATTATTGATTCAGCATGCAATGCGATGGTGATGGATTAGGGCTTTGTAGTGCTACTCTACTAAAAGTGTTTTTATTTATATTAAATTCTAAAAGCTAAGCACTAAGCCTCCACCAGCCATTCCTCCTTTTCAATTTTGTGTGTCTTTCTATTGAAGAGGAGAGGAAAATGGAGAAGAAGAGGAGAGTGTGAAGAGAGTGAAAGTAGAGTTTTGGTCATTTATATTTGTTGTTTTAGTTAAAAAAAGTATATTGATCGTTGTTAGTAACTTGAATCACACTTTGATTTTCAATGATTTTGAGTTTGATGAATTAATCTCTCCTTTACCGAGAAAAAATATTTTCTTCTAATTTATCAAGCATTTATCAAGTAATTTTTTGTATATGATAGATGTAGATTTTATGGACATTTTGATTATAATATTATTGAATTTCACTATGTAAAATAAAAGTTGTGATTTTATAAAGCTATATACTAATATATTAATTTTCCTATATTTTATGGATTTAAGTATTTCATGTTGAATTTCAGACATTAAAGAGATATTGATATAATTAATATAAGATAAATACGTCATTTGCATTTAAGCAAGAAAACCTGACTGTTAATAGTATAATAAATATGAGGTTCTTAAAATATAATATCTTATGCATGAAGGTGGACAAATGGGCTTTCTTTTAAAGATAGTTTATAATGGTATCCCAATTTTAGCCTATAACTAATGAATGATTACACTTACCGGCAAAGGGTGATGACCCTTAATGATTTATATAAAACTATCTATATTGATAATTTAAAGATGATGTAATGATAATAATAATGATGATGATGTAATGATATAATGAATATAAATAAAAGAGTGAAAATAATATATTAAAACTTGATGTCCTACCTTATGAAATCATACTAATGCATACATATATACAGTAATATCAATGATAGATATATTAGTAATGTGTGTGCATATATAGCATATAAATGGTTACATATACTGATTTTTTTAATAGATAATTGATAAGATGGATAAGACTAATGACATTGACACTTGTTTGTTTAAGCTATAAAGTACCAATTTATTGATCACTAATGTATTGATCACTTATATTTTTTTTTCTCACACCTATTATAAATTTATGGATTTAAGCATGATAATGTTTTCTTCTCAATATTGATCATATTGAATCGTACCAGTGATGAATGATCATTGATAATATTGAACACATTGATTATATATATTGACATGAGTGTGTTGATTGATTACTTAAATCTTTTATTGGAATATTTAGTGAGTTTTGTGTTTCTACTAGGCTTTATAAGGTCATTATATGATGTACGGATTTGAGGTCCGGTGAATTGAGATATTCAAGTTTCTTCTTTTATTTTATAATTTTATTTTATTCTTTTGTAGCAAGGAGTTTTTAATAGATTATTGATTGTTAGTGATTTTGTTATTATAAATATAATTTTAGTGAATGAAAGCAGTGAAATAATTTAATGTATATGATATTTAATTACTTTTGATAAATATATTAATTTATATTGATGAATTATAGAAGCTCTAGTAGATGATTAAAAACATAAATTAGATAAATCTTCTAATTTAGATCTTGGGGCATGCACTACTAAATCCATTTATCTAATAAAACTCAGTAGAAGAACCCATATACATCAAATCATTCCACTAATTCATTATTCATTAAAATATATTTTCCATAGCTAAAATTTTAATTAGTTCACCAATATATCTTTTAGTACTTCCAACTATAAAAGAATAAAATAGAAATAACATAGATCTATTCCTAAAATTCTAAAATTAGATTAGCCTCGCTCCACTTTATCCTAAATGCTTCCTAAAAATATATATTAAATTTTAGAGTGAGCCAATAGCTTAGTAATCAATCAAAACTTCTAACTATAATCAATGTAAGGCAATAAAAATAACATGCATGTAACCATTAAATCCAAACCAGTATTAACATGTAATAGTAAGGACATGTGATGGTCAATATGAATAATATAAATTTAGATAAGTAGTGAGAATCAATACAAGCAATGTAACTTAGATATTAGTGTTCGATAGTTAGATGAAGGATATTTATATTCTTTCATTCTTCTTACTGTGTGAAATATTGTCTTCAAAACCAACTCTAAGAAAATCTTTATACTTCTATTGAGAAAATTTTATAGATTTTAACACATAAATAGTAATCTCTTGACCTTGAAGCCTCAAATTTTGTTCCTCTTTTTACAAATCAATCATGGCTTTCCTAATGGATAAGAACTATTTTCCTAAAATGAGAGGTATTTCTCTATCTTCTTCCATATCAAGCATAATAAAGTCAATAGTGAAAATAAATTTATTAATCTTAATCAACACATCTTCTATTACACCTCTTAGATAGGTTAAAGATCTATATGATAATTGAATAGTAATTGAAGTAAGTTGATCCTCTCTTCTATCTAATCTTTTGAAGATTGAAAGGGGCATGCGATTAATGCTTAATCCTATATCACATAATGCTCTCTCATCGAATTTATCACGTATACATCAAGGAATTGTGAAACTACCAGGATGTTTAAGTTTCTCAAAAAATTTTTTTAAAATAATAACACTACACTTTTTAGTTAATACTACTATTTCAAATTGCCCTTTCTTCATTTTCTTATTCAAAATATCCTTCATGAACTTTGAATAGCTGGGCATCCACTCTAAGGATTCATAGAAGGGTATGATGATATTCAGTTTCTTACACACCTTTAAGAAATTAGAGAATTATTAATCAAGATTTTATTTAATCAACCTCTGAAAAAAGGGTGGTGTAGGTGTCTCTACAACCTTCCTAATTAGTTTTTTATATTTCTTTATAGGATCAGGTGGTTCAATAGAGGTTTCACTTTCTAAATGTTCTTCATCACCATTATTCTTTCAAGGTAGAACTTTATCCTTGTATGGGTTTCCCAAATCATTCCAATTTCTAAGTTAAATATTATTACTTTATTCTTCCAGCTTTAGGTTGCTAATCAATCTAGCAAAGAGCCCTATATGATCTTCTATTTTTCTAAAAGCATTACCTTTATATTGCAGTTGAATTCCTAATTGCATAGCAACATCTTTTAATGGTATCTTCCCATTCCTAACATGATTAAATTGTCCAAATCCTAAAGGGTAACACTATATAGCTGCATAATATGGTCTCGAGCATTCATACATCTAGGATCACTAGCTAAGTTAGGGTAATTTTTATTCCTATTTGTTTTGGACCTAACTTCCGTAGTATATAATTTCATTGAAATAATAGCCACCTGAGCTTTATGAATTCACAAATCATTAAAATCTTAAACTTCATCTGCTCTTTTAGGATCCAAAATTCATAAACTTCAGTTACTCTCTTGGGATCCCCTCTTTTAATAGACCACTAAAAATTATTATTATTCATTTACTCAATCAATTCATAAGCATCCTTAAATGGCTTAGACATAAATGATCCCCTAGCTACATCATCTATGATTGAACAAACCAATCATGCAAATCTATTATAAAAGGTTTGAATACCTAACAAATTAGGTAAAACATAGTGAGGGCATTTCCTAAGCATATCCTTAAATCTCTCCCAATTTTCATAAATAGATTCTCCTTCAAACTGGGCAAAGGAAGTGATAACCTTTCAAAGTTTAGCAATTTTTTAAGGTTGGAAATACTTTGCAAGGATATTATGAGCCAACTCATTCCAAGTGATGATAGAGCTTCGGGGCAAAGAATTTAACAACATTTCACCCTTATTCTTTATAGAAAATGAGAACATACTAAGTCTAATGGAATCATTATTGATAACATTGTACTTAAAAGTTAAACAATTTTTTAAAAACACTAGTTAAATGTAAGTTAAGATCTTCAAACGGAGTTCCTCCAAACTGAGAATTTTATACCATTTAGATAATTGCCTATTTTAATTCAAAATAATTTGCTTGGGTAGTACGTCTATTGATACTCTGGTAAATTCATTCAACTATAAGACTGAATAGGTGCATCTCTTAGTTAGGTCAGCACGACATTGTGAAATGTGAACCATGTGATGCTTGGAATAACTTTTTAATGCAACAGGTAAACTTATGAACTAATAATGCATGTTTATAATTTATACCTTATTTTTATCTACATGTCACCCCATATATATCAATATACTTATCATATCAAGCAATTTCTCTACATCTATTTTATATATGTCATATTATATTAATGCATGTATATTATGTTCTATATTAAGTATAATATATCATTTAAAAGTAAGGTAGGATATTTGGTTACGTCTAGTGTTTTTTCTATATTTAGTTACATAAACCCTGTGGACTAAATAGAATTAGTCTCGATCATTACTGACCTTATTATTATATAAGGTCATCAAGACCTAGCCAGACTTCTACTTGGTAATCTAATTATTGATAATCACCCACTTGTCAATTATAGAGATCCTAATCAATCCCAATCCAATATTTGATTCTAACGTTCAATCCAAACCTTCATTTGACATTCAAATCATGTTCAATCAACCTGAATCCTTCAATTGATTATAATTGGTAAGAACAATTCAAGATTTAGTCAATCACATTTAAATATCCATTCAAATCCAAACTATTAAATTCTAAATCTATGGCCAAAAGCCTGAGTCGTGAAACCCTTTATGGGTGAATTTTCTATTACTAGGAAATCCAAACTAATGATCTCTACTTCAAGACCTATTAGTTGCATATCGACCTGGCATATCTCTAGAGCTAGTCCTCCAAATTTGAGCTCATTCTGAGGCCTCTTAACCATAAAACTAATTTTATTTTCATAGGTTACAAAACCTTTAAATATTTATAGCCTATGTCGTTCCACCTTATGAAAATTGACCTTGACAACCTCATAAAGACCTTTGACCATGTTCATGGACTCTAATATAGCATGATTACTAATAAACCACACTTATCTAGACCCAGTTTGACCTAGGATTAACCAGGGGTCAAAATTATTAAAATGACTTTTAAATGGGTGTTTTGGTCTCCCCCCCCTCCCAAAAAAAAATCAATATGGCCTCCCCATATCAACCTTCAAAACCTACCCCAATGGATCCTAAATATCATCAGGAACACATTGGACCTAAAACCACACTAGAGAAAAGGCCTGGTTGATTAAGTCAATCATGGTTAACCAAAGTAGCCCTTAAGGGTTCAAACAACCATTTTAAACCAAATGACCTCTCCTTGAGATAAAACCACCTCCATTGGGTTCACATAATCAATTTGAACTCAATGGACCTAACCCTTGACCCTATGTCAACTTAGTTGACCAAGTTCATATAAATCTTCCATGCACTTCTACCTTTTCGAACCGTTTGACGAAGACTCCCCAAAACCCATTCAAACTTATGGGGTGAGCCATTGGATCCTCAAGAGACCCCTCATAAAGACCTAAGACATGGTCCCACTTGGGTTAGCCACTTGGCTATACCCAAGTTTCCAAAAGAAGATTACCCTTGAGCCAAACTCCAACCCTAGCATACTTGGATCAAACCAATGGTGGCATTGGGTTCCTCTTGACCCAATACATCTTCCCTAGTAAACCCAACCCTTGGGTCAACTTGGGTTAGGAATTAGGCTAACCCAAAGTGGCCAAAACCACCTTAGCTTAAACCATTTCTTTAACTAAACTCAATTAAACCCAACCAACCCTTCCATGGGGTAGCCCTAGGTCTAACACATCTACCCTAGTCAGCATATCCCTTGGGTTGACTTGAGTCAGCCTTTAGGCTAACGCAAAGTGGTCAAAACCACTTTGACTTGAGCCTATCCTCTCCATACTTCAAATTAAACCCAATTGGCTGTTGTATTGGAAAGACCTTAATCTAATGCAACTCATACCTCAAGCCTAGGGTGTGGCATGACCTGGGTCACACCCAATCAAATCCTAACCACCTAGGTTTGGTTAAACCTGAGCCATTTCCATTAATTGGATCTCATCATGCCTAATTGACCTCATGGATTAACTCACCAGACCTCCAGCAAACTTTCCAACTCATCCTGACCTAACCCTTGGCCACCATTGATTAGAGCAAAGGAGAGTGATTTATTATAGACTCGTCCATCTTGAGCTCCCCCCAAAGGCTTCTATAGGCTAGTTTCACTATGCTTAAGCTCATGAGGCATTGGGGATATCTCCACTTCTAGCTGGAAATCATTCGACAGCCTGCCCAATCGATCCCATTAGTGCATGGTTGTAGGGATGACTTAAGAAGGGTACCCTCTCCCAGTACAACATTTTAAAAATCCTTCCCAAATCTCTTTGAGCAATCCCATAGTTTCTCCAATCTCCCAGCCTCTTCTAGCCATTTGTTTGAGCGAGTTCTAGTGAAAACCATCCATATTTTGCTCAAAGTCATACCTCTGGCCGTCCACTAGTCTTATCTTCTGAAGGAGAACTGCTCATCTTCTTACCCTCAGGCTTCTTATGAGAAAAAACCCATCCATAGGGGCTTTCTCCATGGAAAAAACTTACCCTAAGATCCATAGATATGTAGTCTGGTCAAGTGTGAAAGAAACCTTCACTCCAACTGGTTTCTATCGTTGGATTGAAGGTTTATAATTTCGTGATTATTTTTGTGAAGTTTGACGGAGTTTCACTGACAAGATTCATCAGATAAAATCAAAAAATCTTTATGGGCTTTGTTGGCCATGGGAGGTTGGAAACATAATAATATCCATTGAATTAGATCATTAGTGCAATTTAGTTCCCGTGGTTTTTTTTTTTTTTGAAAGAAATGCATAAGATTGCATTAAGAAACTGAAAAAGAAAATAGGAACAACTAAAGACTATCAACTCTAGATTCCTCCTTTAAAATAGACATAAAGAAAGGAGGAATCTTGTCTATGTTGATATCTTCCCAAATAAAAAAACTCAAAATGCCATAGTTAGCACATAAATCTGCTAACTTATTGCATCTTCTATCCACACAATTGAAAATAATTTGATCAAAACCATAAAAAGATCCATATTACCATGCATAGTATACCCCTTTTGTTGAGATTTTTGCAAGAATTTCATCATATTTGCATTGTCACCTTCAATTATAATACCTTTGTATTTAAACATCCAATCCTTGATCACCTCCTTGATAGATTGAGTAGCAAGAAGCTCCAATGTAGAAATATCCCAATGAACATACGGCTTACCAAAGGCCAAGAGAAATCTGCCTTTGAAATCACGTACTACCCCTCCTATTCCAACTTAATAGGAAGGTAGTAAGGAAGCATCCACATTGACCTTAAGCCAATCGGGTGGAGGGGGATACCAATGAATGTTGGACAACATTGAAGACTGATTAATATCCCATTTACCCGAGATTCTACTAAACCCTTGAGCCATGAATGAGGAGAAACTCACTGATTTAGCTCCAATAACAGAAGCACTTTCTTCTTTGCCATTGTGAATTAAATTGTTTCTGTACTTCCAAGAGAAGAACACCAAGTTATAATATAAGTTGATCATAAACGAATCTTATTTAGACATCCAATTGCTGCACTCTTTTAAGGAATCAAATATAGGAAATTGAAAACCCCATTTCCTAATTTGAAGAATAACATCTCTCAGCTTTGAGCATCTAGCCACAATATGATCATTGTCTTCATCTTCTAGACAACTTCTTGGACAAAGCTTACAGTTATGTAATCTTCTGTATTCTAAAATTTTATTAGTGGGAATAGCCTCATTAAAAATTTTCCACCACAATGTCTCAACCCTTGGGTTGAGTTTAGCATTTTTAATCCAAATCCAATAATGCTTGCTGCCAGAATTTGCTTTAAAATTTTCAGAGATCCTTACCGAAATAGATTTACCATTCAACTGATGTAATAATTCAATTTATTCTTCAATTGACTCAGTGTTAATCTTGATTTGAGAAACAAGGTTAACAAGATCATCTCCCATATAATCTTTCAAGGCTTCCACATTCCATCTTCCATTATAGATAAAATTAGAAACTGAAAAACTATAGCTATCATTTGGAATAATAAACATTGGCCATTTGTTTAAATTTGTGTCTAGAATCCATGTATCATTATATACATCAATGTCCAGTCCATTGGCTACCTTCCACCTGATAATTGAATTAAGAGACTTGCCTCCTTCAAAAATGATCTTAGCAGCCGAAGAACAAGTCCTCCTTGTAACTCCTTTCAATAAATTCCCATATCTGGAAAACATAGCTTTGTGAAGCAATGACTCCTTATTAACCATCTCCAATCCAATTTAGCTCTCAATGGGCCTACAATACTAGAGCAAGAGTGCAGCCCTCTTCCTCCCCGATCCAAAGGAAGGCACATAACACTCCAATTAACATAATGGATACCATATCTACCATTAGTTTTGTTCCAAATAAAATTCCTGCATATCTTGTCAACTTCATTGAGAATGCTTTTAGGCACCAAAGAATTAGTACAATGGAAGATTGTATATGATAAAATGATAGATTTAGTCAACAAAATCTTTCCTTCCAATGAAATCATACTTCCTCCCCAAGTGTTTGTCATCTTCAAAGCTTTGTCAATAATAAAATGGAAGTCATTCTTGATCAATCTTCTTATGGCTAGTTTTATACCAAGATAATTCAGCTCTTTAGAAGCTTTGAACCCAATGATCCAA